AAAAACAAAAAAGGTCTGAACGAAATCATGAATCAGAATCGACAGATGTTGGACAACTTTCAACAGCAGATAAGAATCTTTTACTTAACTTTCGTAATATAATGAAAAAGCTTCACAACAATCTCTGTAGTATATACAATGAGCAGTTTCTGTCAATTCAAATTGTTAAAGATGAATATAGATGCTGTTATAATAAGAAAAGCCTACCAAAAAAATTTTCAGCTAGGAACAATATGGTCCAGGTAATAATAAATTTTTTAGTACAATATGTTTCATGAGAAAAAAATATATATATATGTATTTTTTTTTTTTTTAGGTGAAGTGTCTCAAGAACTTAAGGGCCTTACCAAAATAGAAGAAATGCTTATTGCCCAAGTATTTATAGTTGTATCAGTTTACAACCTTTATGGCAGTCAATATGCATATCGTGAAAATGTTATCAACTTTCCACAGGACATGCGAGAATTTACAACACATCTTCTGTACTACCCATTATCATTGGATATGCTAGTTGTATAGTGATACTCAGCTGATAGATCGATATTTCGTAATTTTAATGTATATAGGGAAAAAGTTATCCGGGCTCTTCATTGGTTAAAAGAAAACAACATTTTTTACCGTGATATTGAAATTGATGAAAATGTATTACTGTCCCTACCTGACAATGACTTAATCATTGATCAGCTTCTGCAAATCAGCACTAATCAATTTGACCATAAATACGGTGAACAATCAAACATTAATGAAAGTGAAGAGAGAAGTTTAGACAACTATGAAAATGATAAAAGTGCTGATTTTATTTTGTGAACCTTTGTTCCTGTATTGCCTCCCAGGAATCGTGAGAATAATGCGATCAATGACACCTTAAATCATTTACAAAACAATCACCTATTGGATAAAAATTCATTACTTGATTGGCCCCATATTGATAATGTTCTTATTGATAAATTTTATACCGTAGGATATATAACATGTGCATTTCTGACTCTTTTCCCTCGAGGTGCTGTAGATCTACATGCTTATAGGGTAAAAGAAGTAAAGCCAGCTGAATATTTTTAGCACCTCTTTAAATACAAAGATGGTCAATTCGCTCGACATCTACACTAGCGTTACTTTGCTCTAAATTTAATAATGAGATGGAGGTATTAGCAGAAGAACGTATATATGTTAAACAGAATTTAGATGAAGGACAACTCACTGTAGCTGAGATTTAGGAAATGTTACAAAATGATACTCATATCGCAGATAGGGTGGTATGATATGGAGAGGGTCTATGCATAACTCGTTAGTTTTGGATATGATATCATGCAGAATTATTAGACATGATAAAACAGCTAGGTTCTCATAAAATGATATTTTTTATCTTTAGCACCGCTGATATGCACTGGTCTGAACTTCATGATTTAATACCAAATAGAGAAAATAGTGCTGAAGAAACTGATTAAGAAGCCAACAGATGCTGGCGTTAAGACCTTATAGACAATCCCCACATTGCAGCATGGTTTTTTGAAAAAAGGTTTAAAGTTTTTTTTGAGAAAGTCTTAATACCAAAGTGGGATTGGTAGATTGGTGGTATCATTTTGAATGGCAATACTGTGGAAGTGTTTATGTTTACAGTATTGCAATTCAAAAAGACGTACCTAAGATCAATTGGGAAAATGTAAAGTCAAATCAAGAGCAAATGGACAAGGTGGTATATTACTTAGACTCAATAGTTACAATAGTCAACCCAGGACTAAATACAACAGCACCAGATCATCATCTGTGCCAAAAGCATTCTGAAGATATAGATAATGATTTGCAAGACTACATAGAACTCGTAAACAAATTGCAACGACACACACATTGTAATATATCATATTGTTTGAGAATTAATAAACAGACTAGATAGCAATCATGTAGATTTGGATTTTCAAAAGAGTTGAGAGATCAAACTCTCATACAGTTTGATAAGCATGATCATCCAGAATTAATTACAGCTAGAAACGATCCTCTTATCAATTTACATAATCAGCTTCAGCTTCAGGGATGGAGAGCAAATATTGATCTTAAACCTATACTTACAATATATGCTGCTTTGCAGTACATCTCAAAGTATACAAGCAAAGCCAAACCATGATCTATAGCATTCTCTGAAGTTTTAGAAAGAGCTCTTTATAACAGTAATCCTGATAACCAGGCAGTAGTTGTATTTCAAAAATTACTCCTCCATACTGTATCAGAGTGTGATTATTCTGCTCAAAAAATGTATTACCTTCT